TCTATGATTCTATGATTCTAAGTTTCTTGCAGAGATCAGTTTTGCTTACAAGATGAAGAATGGTTTGCTCTGCAGCAAGCATTCAGAAAGCAAAGTTTTGAAATAAGATGAACAATGTCTTAAATATCCGCAAAAGCTTTGGGATTACTGGATTTGACCTTCTAGACTAAAAAAACATAGCTGAGTAAAACACTTTAAGAGAGCTAAAAAAAATAGGAAAAAACTCTTCTGCCATTGCTGTTTAGTAAGAGCAAGAACTTTCCCATCACTTATTTTTTACAGACAGAAGTTGATGCAGAGACTTTTATCCTTTTTATATGGCAGCCTTGTTCAGCTTTGGATTTGACAATGGAAAAAAAGGATGTTTTCTAGATCTAAATTTAGTCCTATTGCACTCTGAAGCTGCGCTTGCAGTACGTTAAATATCTTTCTCAAGTGATTTTGTTTGCAGTCTTCATTCCATTAGGAAGAAAACAACATTGGATCATGGCATTTGCCTTTTACAAAGCTCGCTGAATTTTGGAAATAGCTATTCTGAACTGCAATGAGTGTAAGCCAAGTTCCCATTTATCAGGTCAAGCCCTATTTTCCCTGCTGAGGGTCGCAGTCTAAACCCCACTAGAACTACTCCACATGGATGGACCAGTCTGAGAAGCTCTGACTCACCTTATTCTGAAGCAAGCAAGAAAACCCCATGGTATTAAAACCAAAATACCCATGTAGAAGGTTTAGCATATTGTACAGCTACTTGAAGTCATAGGCTATCAAATTATGCAACTCAAACAAAATGGAAAAAACAAAACAAAACAAAACAGAAGATTAACCCAGTACCTGTATCACAGTTTTATTTGTTTCTTACCCTATAATGTAGAGTAACTTCATCTCCAATCTGCTCTGTTGTGTTAATAGCAGTAGGGATGGTATCATTTGCTGCAATTATAACATGGTGTTCCTTGAAAACACTGTGGGTTAAAAGAAACCAGATAAACAGCCCAATAAGAACAGTATAATAATAAGAAGAATACAAATAATAAGTACACAAACTTCATAAAAACTCTAGCAGCTAACAATATAGGTCTTTTCGTTATTTCATGAACCATCCAGGTCCATTCTTGCAGATAAGAGTGTACTGTGACTTCCACTGAATTTCAATTCATCAATTTTCTAAGTATTAGTCACCTTTTATTATGTACATTTTAAATGTTTTGTCCAGATAAAACCACAAAATCAGCAAATATTGTTCCTAAAAATAATATATCAGTGTCTGATTTTGCTGATCTTATTCTAGATGTGCAGTCCCTTATGCTGAGTATTGCCATGTGAAACAGGCAGGGTCCTATAAAAGACAGAAACCACTAAAAAGAGAACAAAACTAGCACATTCTCAGTTCAAACTTATTCTCTATGGGACAAAGGCTTGATTTGAACCATGAAATGCATCCAAAATGAATTTAATTATCTACATTTGTGCAACATGCAAGGTAGTCTACTGATAATGTTTATAATGTTTTTCAGGGATGGAATTTAACTGAATTCTAGGTATTCCTGAAAATAAAGTGTACTACAAGACCTATATTAAAGTTTATATTTGAACTGATAAAAACAAACCCCTGGGAATCTAAAGTCTTTAAATGAACAGAGCAAAGTTCAAGTATCAACAAAAGCTGCTGCTGTACTTGCAAACTCCAGGTCAAATTTATATAGATAAAATGGAGATCCAGCAAGACAGGGACAATGACTGCTCCATTATTTCGTATAAATGTTCTTTTCAATGAAGCCTATGCTTCCTGTTCATGAGCGTAGAAGCTGTCATCTGTAGATACTGAGCACAACTCAACAATAAAACAATACCATATTCTCTGAATATCTGCCGTTTACTGTGCTAACAAATAAAGTACAGAGAAGCATCAATACCTTACAAATATTAATCCTACTTCATATTTTACTGGAATTGTAACGTGTCCTCTGTTGTCACTCAAGGTCTCAGGTGGTTCCTCACTGTCACTAAAATAAAGCAACAGATATCATCACTCAGATCAGACTGTGCAGATGCAACATGACTACTAGGTAGGAAGAGATCTTAAGAAACTAAAACACCTACATCTCTGGGTACAGAAACACACTACTCATTTGCAGTTAATAACCATCTCTTAAAAATAACTTCAAAATATTATTTCCAGGAACTAAAAAGTTAAGTCCTACACCAGTTCCAGTTCAGAAGTGCATCTTTGTTAAAATTAAAGACTGCATGTTGACTGAAGACAAATGGACTGCTCTCACACCATCCCTGGTTTTCTGGAGAGACAGCAAACACTGAGGGTGTGCATTGCTTTATCACAGACAACTTCTGCAATGCACTTGCTCTCTGAAAGCCAGACTTTTTTGTTTAGCATAAACTGTGATTCATGCTAAAGTATGCAGTAATCCTCTAAGAGAATAAACTTTTCTGAAGGTAAAACTACTGGAAATTATGACTCATTTGTGACTCAGGTTCTAGAGACAAGAAGCTATTTAGTCCACTCAGTCCACTGATGGACTGAGTACATCTGTAAAGCTGCCAGCTCTACAAATTGTTTAGCTATTTCTAAATTGAGGAAAGTCGTGCTTGTTTGGATGTAGAGCTTTCTAAGAAAAAAAAAAAAAATCAGAAGGTAAACAAGTAATGGTTGCAACTAACCTTGTTGCATATACGTGCACAGTAGCGTTTTCCAGGAGATATGATGCATTGAATTGGAATGATATTTTGAAGGAAATCTGATTAGAGAAAAATATTACATATTTTAAAAGGGGAAAAATAAAGAAGAAATAAAAGCACACTAGTAAGGTTTGTTCTGATGAAAAATAATGAGCAAATTTTTGCTGCTTCTGTCTATCAAACCCTTATTCACATTTTAACACTTTTCTATGAATGACTCCACTTTTTGGAATTTGTCCCAACCAAGAAGGAAATCTAATAGTTATCACTTATTGAGCAGAAGCTTCGAATTTTCAGAACAGAGAAGCCTCGGTAAATTACAGAGTAAATTACTAAATATAGTAGGTTAGAAACAAATAGCTAAATAATTCTTAATGGAAATGAACTGGTCTTGCAAGCAATTTATCATGGTTTATTTGGGTTAACACGGTTTATAATTAGTTAAAATCACATATATTATTTTTTCTCCACTGAGGAAGAAAGAAAGCCTCAGAGCCTGGCAATTACAGTGGCCTTCAGTTGTCCATAGAAGGCTGCTGGAGTCTCACTTAGTATACACTAAAACACTTTGAATTCCAAACAGAAATGTTTACAGTGTAAATAAATGACTACTAGGCCTCACAAAAATTCCCTAGTCTTTGTAAGTAGGGCAATTTTATCACAATATGGCACTACACAGAATTTGGGAGCACTGCCCCACACATCTTCTTTATATCCTGACACTTGGGGGTAATTTTACATGAAGAACAAGTTTACTATTTGTTACTGTACAGGATTTTTCACCTCAGACTTTTATTTTTCCTTTAATGTGTGCAAATCTTTACTACAAAGTGACCCAGAGAAAGTTGTCAGATCTTCATATTTAGAAAAATAGGAAGAGCCAGAAAGAGGCTTTAAAAAGGAATGTATTAGGGATACTTGTCAGTGAGTCAGAGATTAACTGATTTCTGAATGCAAATGAGAGTATGAAATGCTTCATTTTAGGCATCTATAGCTACAGACAAGCTAACAATCAAAGCATGAAAGGAAAGTGTGAAAAATCCAGTACAGCTGGAAATGGAGCATCATGGGCACTGGCAGTGGAGCTGTGCTTCTTTGTCTGTAAAAGTAACAACTAACTTAATTCCTGCAAGTCTAAGACAGATGCTGGCAGGAGGACATCTCTCCTGATCCTCCCTCTATTACGCATCTGCAACACAGACCTGACAGAACAGAGGAACAAACTGCCAGGAAACAGAGCTGGATTTATTTGCATGCAATTTGGTATTTCCCAATTCAATATCAGAACTATTTAAGTGAGGCTTAGATGCTTGTTTTCAAATGGTTAGTTTGGCTAAAGCTCCCTCTATTCTGGCAGGAGATACAGACTTATCACCAGAGCTATTCAAGCTGGAGTTCAATTTTAAGTGGACCTCTTGCTGGAAAGGCCTCTTGCTCCCCATTGAGCAGAGGTCAGTCTTGATGCCTGTCTTTGGCACACCCAGTTTAGCATTTCCACATAGCAGCTTATTCTCTTCAACCAATTTACTACATTTTATGTATAAAATAACTTAAGTCATAGGCTCCAGCCTGTGGAAAGGCACAATATCTAATGTCTTATCAGCAGATCCTAACCAATATCCTACACACCTGGAGACAGACATACCATAGCTGACTGCTAGGTACTGAAAATCTGGTATTTTCCTATCTGGCTCAGGGCAGTTCATGTCAACGATAGCCTGGGAAACATGCACAGAAAGGTTTTGGTGTGGACACAAAAGAAAAGAAATTCAGAGGTGACAGGGACTGCCCTGGCCTTAGAACAACAGGGAGCAAGTAGAACTTGTATGAAGGAGGAATTTTTACCTCTTCAGCAGGTTTTAGAAATGGATATCCCACTTTACAGGTGATGTTGTGATTAGACTCACAGCTATCTTTCTGTATATCCTGAAGGAAAAAGAAAGTGAAATTATGATCTTGTGCAAACTGTACTTAAATTCTGACCAAGCACCAAGGGCCTGTTGAACATATATACCATTTCTGTTTTACACCACCAAAATATCATTAAGAGTCAAAGGCTTAACTGAATTGGAACAAAAATAGGAAGCCACAACTTTGGCCAAAGAATTTGCATCTATGGACAGCTACACCATTAACTAGCTATTATTCCCTTCGAGTGAAAATGTTTGGAACATTAGCAATTATATACAAACTCAACATCATGCAAATTATTAATGAGGTCTAGAACATCAACATATTAGTAAGTACACAGTTTTTATGTGTAATCTTGTAACTGTGCTCCTAACTTGGCAATAAAAGTGGCATTCAGACTCCATAAATTATGGTCACAGGGTCAGCAAGAGTGCTATTGATCCCTGATTTCTCCTAGTACGCAACACCACGACTGGTGACAGAAAACAAACTTCTCCTGACTTCCCACCTTAACTGAGGCAAATTCATAGTGTATCTATCGAGGCAGGGAGAAAAACAACTACTTTGGAAATGCTGCCAGAGGTCAGGGGGAGGCATGCTCTGGTCTATGCTGCCCTACCAAGACAGTGTTTTTTTCTACACACGTGCAACAGAAGTCTATAGTCTCAGGAGCTGTACTGATGAAAAATGAGGCATTTCTGGCTCTAAAGGTAGAGCTGATTCATTCATCTAAGTGCTGACATTCATCTCAGATGCCTGCACTGACTTGTCTAAGTGTCATTGTGAAACTTGTGTCTGTATTTAATGGAAGCTAGGCAGGAGTCTGCTCCGGGCAAAATACATGAACTCTTGTAAAGAGGGCTAAGCGAGGACAGCACTCCCAGGGAATCTCTTCCAATCAACTGAGGTGACAACAGAGCAGTGAAATTCAGGCTCAATAAAAAGCCTTACTTACGTCTCTCTAGCAATGCATGTGATAATGAGAAAAACTCCTACCTCAATGCCAGCAAATATAATATTTGGAGAATACTGAACCAAAACTCTGGTATTGTAGGCACTGTCTTTTTTGTTCTTCACAGAGAGCTGAATGGTGAACTTATCATTCCGTGACTTCACAATGAAAGGAGAAGAGCTGTAAAATAAAGGTAAGATGTTTGGACACCTTGACTTCTGAATCTGTTTTTAACATAAAGAGGAACTTCATTCAGTTTCAGACTATACTGTTTCTGATTTGGAAATTACATCACAGCATTAGACTACAGAACTTATTATTTACTTATTAGACTACAGAATTTATAATTTACTTCAAAATTTTGTACTGATCTCAAGGCATACAATAACTGCAGTGTATTTACCTGTCTCCAGCTATGCTTGCTTTTACATTCAGAACAAGGTCTGAAATGCATTTATTTTTGGCTCCACAGTCTTTTGTGAAAGGAATCTGCAACGACAGTATTTTTGCTCTGAATTTTATTACATTTATTGTTCATAGTAAATACTTTTATTAAAATTAATTATCTAATTTTATATAAGGCCTTCTGTTTCACACTTAGAGAAGTCTTCCCTGATATTAATCAGTTAAACATGCCAACATCCTGTAAAATGCACAGGTGAAACATAAGCTTTCTAGTCCTTCCCTTCTAAGTGACGCATCTCAATTAGAAAAAGAGGCAATAGGAGAAGTATGAATAATGCCAATCACCATCAAAATAAATTACTAACATTCCCCTGCTCTATCTACATAAAAGATGACAGTAAAATTTCTTATACTCTTCTATCTTCAGTTAACTCTGGACAGCTTTAAAACCCCAGGCTGGTTTCCAAGCACACCGAATGAAGATTTTAATTCCTGAAGACACATTTAGAGGAAACATCCTCTGGCCACACTCAATGACACTCCCTTTTTAGCCAATCTGTGGACAAGCCTTTCAGCTCTTGTGGGGGCTATTAATTTTACCCTAAATACTTTTATTACTAATAATCTTGCTGACTTACATATTCAGATACTGAATTTGGCAGGTTGCTATCTAGAACAGGTCCACTCTCTGGATCTGAAAAATTGAACTCCAGCAAAACCTTTACAGAGTCCTGAAAGTCAGGCTTATCCTAGAACATAAAGAAAACAAAATTGCTGTTATGGACATTCACTGTAGTATCTATGGAGGTTAAAAAAACTCAAACTATGCTGAGGTAAAATATTTTTCAGTCACACTGTCGCCATCTCTGCCAGAGAAGCATCTGAATGCTTGCAACTGATGGGGAGGCATTTAATGTGCAAGCCAATTCTTATAAACATCTACTGATGTTTTGTGCGTCTTGTCTCATCATAAAAATGTCACATAGCCTGAGCATATCCAACACAGTTTCATTTAAGAATGTTTCAGAACAGTCAACTCACACTGTCCTCTTCTAGTTGAGCTTAAAGGATCAGTAGGATGAACAGCAGCAGTGTCACCTTACATGAAGTCAAACTGAGCCTCCTGTTACAAGGTGTACTGCATATTCAAGCTAATTTTGGGCATCATTCATTATTTGTTTTGAATATGATAAAACTGTGAAGTCACTAAACATTTTAAATGTGAGTAGCTTATAATATACAGCTCCATTCACTCAGCACATTACTTACAATCTAGGCAATTCCATACTCACAGTTGCTAATTACATTTCTGTTTTGCAGTGAGTAAGTATTCTCTATCCCAAACTTAATTTGCAAGGTTTTCTTTCACCGTATTTTATTAGGAGGAATTGCACCAACATGCAAACTAGACTTCCAGCTCATATGCTTCTGCTGAGCTTTGAATACACCTAATCTGCTAACCATGATAGCTCCTTGGCTCCACAAAGTGTGTTATGCTCTCTCTTAAGACACAAAGAGACAAATGTAAATAGACTGTACACATAGTAGTTTATATCTATATACATATACAAATACAAATACATAAACCCTAAGTAGTGTGCAAATTGTATGTCCACTTCTTAAGATTAACTCTGGATGCAGATTTTGTTGTCCGATGTATGATTAATGAAATACATTTGGATTACTAGAACGTCAACATGAGAAAAACACTTTAAATGATTTACTTGCCAACATGTAGAAGTTATGCTTAATACATTCTGACCCTCTGATAGTTATATTTCTTTGCATTTTCCTCTCATGGCTTTCTGCAAACAAGCTTCGAGATATTTGTCTTTGTGAGTCAAGAGTAATCCAGTACTGCAAATCTGTAAAGGAAGTTGAGATAAATATTATGAACCAATTTGCCTCTACACACTCCTTTTTCCCCAAGTATCTTATATGCACTTTGAATGGCAAATTCAGAGTACCTGCACTGTGGCTTTGGAGAAAGAAATGAATGTGAGCCTAGCAGTTTTATACCATAAGGATTCCATAGCTTAGTGCTTATCTACTTACTGGATTCAAATGTATCTTCCTTTGACTTCAGTCTCGTCTTAAAACAAATTGTGGCATTTATGCATATAGTTTTCCTTTTATTTATCTGGCAGTTCTGTTGCTGGATATTGATGCTTTTGGGTGCAAACTGCATGGAAACATTTACTTCAGCCACGTCACGAGACCTTACAAAAACACAAAGAGAAAGTGCCCTGAAAATAATATCAGCAACTTTTAAAATTTAAGAATGAAAGAATATATGCAATGCTCAACATTAATACACATGTATGTGATGATCTAGACAAGTAATTAAATATATACATGATACATAGTACCAGGAAACAACAAATTACAGAAAAAATGGTACAAGGGTTTCTTCACAGTATTGTATTTGTTTCAGAACAGATATTAGATGAGAGGAAACATTTTCAAATGCATTTAAGTAACTTTATTGAGCCAGTCCAGTTTTAAAAGACACTGAAGGCTCAGACCCATCCTTGAGGCTATCCACAGATGAACAAGCTATTATACACAAGCTGGAAAGCAGTGTGCCATCTCTTAGGCTGTGTGTAGATAAACAGGCTAAGATTCACTACCAGTTTGCTTCACTGAGGCTCCCTCTTGCTCCTGTCCCTGCAATGCATT